TTCTTTAATAGGGAAGAAAATAAAAAAGAAAAACAATGCAGTAAATCAAAACAACACTGGCAGAGTCAGAACACACCTGACACCGTGTGGGTCAGGGTGTTGGTAGCAGTCCTGCTGGAGATGTGGCTGCAGCCCTCCTGCATTTCTCCAGCTGAAAACCCTTGTTTTCATGGTCAGGTTGGATTTCACTATGGCCAGGTGGATTTAACTCTGAACAATGTTAACTTGTGAATAAGGCAAATGCCCCAACCTGTAAATAATGATATGATGATGTAAATACTATCCATGACTGCCTTTTTGGTTTTTTATTCCCTTGCTAATTTTTCCTGCATATCCTTTGAGTTAAAATTTCTTTTAAATATCTAATAATACTTCTGGTCCACTAGGTTATACTCTTCGGCAGTTTTCATGGACTTTGAGAAATTTTCTGCTCCAGAAATAACAAAGCGACCAGTGGAAGACCTGATTCTGCAAATGAAGGCATTAAATATAGAAAAGGTGAGTTGGAAAGGGCTTTGTATCACAGCACCCATTAACGTGGTTGCCCATAGGAGCCAGAAACAAACAGAAATGTATTTTATTGCCATTGCTTGGAGCTGTGCCTTGTGGCAGAAATTCAGGTCCTGAGAGTCCATTTTGGGTCTGCACATGGCAGAACCTGCTCTGAATTCCTCTAGGCCTTGACAGACATGTTTGTTCAAGCTGTAAATGCTTTCTTATATTCTTAGAGGTTAAAAAAAAGCCCTGTCTAAGCAGGGTCTGTGTTCTGGAGATCCTGGAGCACTTTCAGAGAGCACAGCACTCCAATCCAGCCCTTCAGCAGCCTGCCCTGGGCGGTGCCTGCAGTCAGTGGGTGCTGGGGGTGATTCTGCTGTTCCTGTTTGCTCCTGTTCTTGTTCCAAGCATTTCCTGCCATTCTGTGTCCCTTCCTTTCGCTCCTGGCACACATCCTGAGTGTTTTTCTTTGTCCCATGTAAGCAGAGGGGAGGATTCCACTGCCTTGCAGGGCTCCTGGCTGTGCTCACCCTGGGATGCTGTGTCACTGTGGGCTGAGGGGCTTTGCTCTTGTTTCCCTAGGTCATCAACTTCCCCTTCCCAAGCCCTCCTCCCACGGAAGCTCTGGCAGCAGCAGAGGAGCTGCTGATAGCCCTGGGTGCCCTGAAGGAGCCCCCCATGACAGGAAGGTAATGCCTGTGCTCCCCACTGCTGCCCTGTGGGCTCTGCTGTGCTGCTGCTGCCCTCCCACCACACCCAGGGCTGTCCTGTGGCTCACAGACTGCCACAGCTCAGCTCTGGTGCCCTCTGCTTGTTCCACTGGCCCTGGTGTGTGTGGGCAGGGAAACACTGAGCTGGGAGCAAGAGGAACCTTTCTCCTGGCCATTGGCACCAGCACACACCAAACCTGAGCAAACACCTCAAATTAACTGGGCTGCCAGAACGGGGAGCACAAACCTGTTCTGATTCAGAGTGACCTCATGACATGAGCTCTCTTTTTTCCCTGGCCCAGGCTGAAGCAGCAGCTGGCAGCAAAGCTGAGCTGCCCCATCAGTCCCCTGGGCAGGGTGATGGCCACTTTCCCCGTGGCCCCTCGCTATGCCAAGATGCTGGCCCTGAGCAGGCAGCAGCAGTGCCTGCCCTACACCATCACCATCGTGTCTGCCATGACTGTCAGGGAGCTCTTCGAGGAGCTGGACAGGTCAGTGGCTGAGCCTGCCTGTGTCCCAGTGTCACCCTGTGTCCCAGTGTCACCCTGTGTCACTGTGTCACAGCTGTGTCCCTGTCACCCTGTGTCCCTGTCACCCTGTGTCACAGTGTCACAGCTGTGTCCCTGGCACAGCTCTCACAGGTGCTGCCCCGTGTTCCTTGCAGGCCTGCAGGCAGTGAGGAGGAGGCAGCCCAGCTGAAGGCAAGGAGAGCCAGGTTCTTGCAGATGCAGAAGGTCTGGGCTGGGCAGGGGCCCATGCAGAAGCTGGGGGACCTCATGGTGATGTTAGGTAAGTACCTGTGAGTATCCTCTCTGTATTCTTTAGTATAGTTTAGTGTGGTATTCTTTAATATCAAATAGTACCTTAAAATAATGAATTAGCCTTCTGAGAGCGTGCAGTCAGATTCGTCATTCCTTCCAGCCTTCTGTAAGTATCCTTTCTGCATTCTTTAGAAATATAATATAGTATAGTATAGTACAGTATAGCATAGTACAATATAGTACAATATAGTATAATATAATATATAAATATTATATATAGTATAATATATATAGTATATATAGTATAATATATATAGTATAATATATATAGTATAATATATATAGTATAATATTTCTTTGATATATATTATCTTAAAATAATAAATCAGCCTTCTAAGAACATGGAGTCAGGTTCATCATTCCTCCCTTCATCGGGACACCCCACTAATACAATAGCAGCCCTAAATGACTCCTTGCCTGGGACAGTGCTGTCCCCACGGTTCCCTGAGGAGCCCTGACCCCCTGTGTCACCCCAGGAGCAGTGGGGGCCTGTGAGTACTCCGGGTGCACCCGGGAGTTCTGTGAGCAGAACGGGCTGAGGCACAAAGCCATGCTGGAGATCCGGCGCCTGCGAGGGCAGCTCACCACGGCAGGTGAGGGGCTGGGGGGATCTGAGCTGGGGAAATGCTGTGCTGGGGGCTGGCACAGCCACACTGAGCTGG